TATTGTATTAGAATAAATAAAAAGGGCTCCGTTAGCACTCGAGGACTCCTAATAATTGTTGCTTATAGTTACTGAGTGCTCACTGCGTGGTAGGGAGAGGGTTAAGTGCTGTGCGGACTCCTCTTCAGGTGCTACCCTGCAACAGCCCTGAGAATGCCTGCACTTTTACAAGGGAGGGGATTCCTGATATCACCGGGTGTGTCCTTCTGTCTCTCCCTCTCTCCACAAGTGCTGACAGCTCAAGCATCTCAGCTTAGATAGATGCCTCGGTGCCACAGGAACCAGCTGTATTGGATTTCTGTGAACTGGAGGGGAAGGGCAGGATTTTAAAATGGGGATTTGCCAGGAGTGTGGGGATTTGTTGTAGAAGATAAAAGTAATTCACAAGGGTGAGGAAGAAGCCGGGTTAGTGGCTCTGGAAACTAGGACCTATCTAGCTACAAGCTGAGAAGCTGTCTTTGAAGGGCTCTAACAGACTCTTCCAAAATTAATTTCTGTTTTCCCTATTTTGGTATTTCTAACACTTGTTTTTAGTTATAGTATCCTGGAGCACTAAAAATACTTGAGTCGGGGTAAAAAAAAAAAAAAAATAAAGCCTGGTGATAAAAATTCATTTACTCAAACAATTAAGTATTCCTTGAACACTGATGATATGCCAGGCACAGACTCATGTTAAGGATATACAAAATACACTCCCATTCTATATCAGAGATAAAGAAAAAGATACAATGTCCACAAAATAGTCTACTCTCTTGAGGCAAGAGAATTAACAGCTGGATTCAATGAAAACTTTCTGAGTACCTTCAATGGGACATCTGGAACTTGAAGCAAATTTGACCAATTCATACCCTTCTTGTATGAAGTCAGATCAGCGGCAGAGGAATGATATCTAGGTAATAAAAGCAAAAGAAAGTTAAAATCACAGTCCTTGGCTTAGAAATTCAGGCCCCAGCTGTTCCAGAGAGAAGGCCTGAGGCACTTGCACTGTAGCTCAGCCTGATGTCTTTCCCTCCCTCCCTCTCTCTCTCACTAACAATGACAGTCCTAGATGAGATAGAAATGAATCAGGGGGAAGGATTGCTCCTGAAAGCAGCACTGTAGAGAACAAAATGCTCCTTAGGTTTCTTCATCAAAGCATCTGCATGGACACTTTAACACTTACTGAGAACCCATTCTTTCATGCCTCGCTGGATTTCCCAGACTTTGTGCCCCTGCACACTCAAACAACTTACTTCTTTCCTCCCACAGAACATCTTTCACTGGAATCTTCTTCCCAGTTATCAGGTGACAGGCAGATGTGACACGGCAAAAACCAGCAGTCCCCATGGGACTACCTACCCTCCCGCTGAAGGTCACCTAGCTAAAGTGTCAGAGGCTGAGGCCTTGGTGTGGGGTAGTGAGATACTGGGAATGTCCCTGCTGTCCAAGAGATGGAAACATGGAATGCTGATCTTTGGCCAAGAACACCTTTCCTCTTTAGTGAGAAAGGATTTCATTGTTCAGTGTTCGTATGAAAGAAGTGTGGTGTTCCTCAAATATTTATTGTCCCATTTCTTTTGCTACTTCCCTGGGTCCTAGGAAGCTTGGGAGATGGTCTGATGTAAATTCCTTCACAAGCTTCGATGTTATGGGACTGGGCTGCCTCGGAATAATTATCTGACCAGGAAAGGCAAGAAGGACAGCTTAGTCCTGCTTCAGCATACAATAATCTTTTCTTAGCAGAACCTCTGTGTCCTGAGCAGCTTTGGATACTGAATGGGTTTCAGCGCAGTCCAGGCAGCTGGGAGAGTGCACCTGGAAGCTTCATATGGGTACTTCTACATCACTTCTTGGGGCAGTGTGCATGCGTGCGTGAGTGTGCGTGTGTGTTTTCACCTCCATCCCCATGGCCCTGTTCCCAGAGCTTGTTTGAAGCTTGGCTATTCTGAGGCATATTCTACTAAACATCCCTTTATCTTCTCTAGACATTTTATTAGATGTGCTTGCCCAAGTGCATGTAATATTTTGAGAGCACTGATACCCCTAAGGGCTTAGGAAAGTTACTGCCAAACCAAGAGTTTGGGATCTATAACTCTGGACAAATAAGGAGTTTTGTCCTTATAAGCAGCTACACATCAACTATGCCATATTTCTGACCTTCTTCTGATAGCTGAGGGCACCTCATCTCAGAAGTTTTGTGAGGTAAGTAGCCTTATTTCTCCAAGCAGAGGGTGAGATTGCTGCCTCAGTCTTAGCAGCATAAGACTGGGAAGAGTTTCACTTACTACCTTATGTAACTTCTCAGCACTAGCCTAAATTTGGCCAGTAGGATAGGGAGGGGGTTGATGGCATCCCTTTCCAGATGCTGTAGATAGACTGGTCTCTCTGACATCCCCAGTCTTGACTCTGAAAGAACAGGTGCCATGACTGTCAGCTGAGTGCTAAGCCTGCGTCTTTTCAAGCCCTGTATTGGTCTCTACTCCCTACCTTTCACCAAAGGCTTAGATAGAGAATAGGGGAGTTGGAGGAAAGGTGAACACTCACTGGGATGCTTTGTCCCTGGGTTCAGGGCCACATCTAATGAGCACAGAGTACCATGAGATGGCGGGGGTTAGCTTATTAGATGTCAAGCATTAGCCATTGAAAACCTCCAGATTTCTAATTAGAAAACCCAGCATATCTGGCCACCAGACTCACACATCTGAGGCAACACTGACTCAGGTAGAGGGAATCTTTGGTCAGTTCTCCCATTCACTGACACCTCCATCTCAGCAGCCTCATCAGTGTGGCATCCACCTGGCTGTCCTCAGATTAAGCTTATGACCTAAGTTCAATTTAAAAAGATGATAAGCTTCCATTCATTACTCACGATGATTCTTGAGGTATTACCAACTCTTAATGAGTATATCACTTTGTTACTTCCTAAGCAAACTTTTGAGTTTATTGAACCTCTGATTGCTCATGTCAAATAAATACACACACACACATCACACACACACACACACAACTAAACAACAGGGACTCAAATGTTCACTTTGAAAATACACAAACCCATCTATCAGGTTTTTAAAAACTGTTTTAAAGTGCAGACAAAGCAAACATGTTATTGAAGTATGGACGCCCCTACTGTAGTCCTTTGCTCATAGACTCAAGAACTCATGACAATTATTAACAGGAAAAAAAAACCTCTTAGAGAGTGTGCCCTGTCTAGTAATAACCATTTCCAGTCTATGACAAATCTATGAAACTGGCTCTGTTCCTTGCGTATCCTCTCATTCCTTACTCCCCTCCATCATCTCACAACCTTCCTCCCACCCACACAGCAGACTTGTCACCACATCCAGAACAATTTAATTACTAAGTGTGGGTTGAATGAAGAACATAATTATTTAAAGTGGAAGCTAAAATGCCTCTTCCTACAAACTCCCAGTCTTCAAAATTAGAAATGTGTTCTCCATTGTCTTTGTGAGAAGGGGAGGGACTGACAAGACTAGAGGGGTCCCCAAGTGAAACACAGCAGCTGCCACTCTCTAAGATGGGATGTTACGGTTCTAGGCTTTTGAAAGTTAAAATCTGAAGACTGGAAATTAAAGTGGGGAGATAAGATATGGAAGTGTTTTGAGTTACAGTGTCTATAGTTGAATAGTGCAAAAAGGACTGTCATGCAGGCCTCATTTCTTCTGGTAAGGCCTTACACAGCACAACCTCTGCCTGAGAAATCCAGGGCATTTCTGACTTGTGTGCACTTGACTTTGTTTCTCAACAGACCACATGCACCTCTACCTTTAAGAACCCAGTCATTGAGCTCTTTCTCCAGTGCTTTGTCCTCAGAAACTGGGAAATTACCTTCCAGGGATGCTGAGTACCAGTGGCTTGTTTAGCAGGCTGGCCTCATTAAGCCAAGGAACCTTCTCAAATTTTGGAATAAAAGCCTAAAGAAAAAAGGAAAAAGATCATTCTACAGGGTTCATCACACATGAAAAAAAAAATTCTTAAAGGAGTCAGAGGGATGGAGACATGTCTCAGTGGTTAAAAGCACTCTTTCCTCTTGGAGAAAATCCAAGTTCAGTTCACAGCACCCACATGTCAGCTCACAATTAATTGCCTGTAACTATAGCTGCAAGGGATCCAGTACCTTATTCTGGCCTCCACAGGCACCTGCATTCAGGAGCACATGCCTAGACATATGTAGATATAATTAAAAACAAAATATATATAAACAGTTTTAACACTTGACTAGTGTTGGTATTATTATAACCAGGGTAAGCTGATAGCAGCCACAGGGCAATCAATACATTACAAAACTTTTTTACACGTGAGTCCTTCAACAATCCCATATAGAGGCCAAGAACAAAAAAGTGTCTTCTCTTGTTTCACAAAGAATTCAAAGCGTAGTGTGGATTCCTCTAAGTGACTCGGTTAACAAATGGGTTCATGTTTTCTGACTTTTGCATCCACGAACTCCCATATTCTGTATATTTTCAGTTCTTTGTATTTCCATCTATTTATAAATCCTGTAATATTTCCATGAGCTCAGTTGGAAAGGCCCTCAACCCTTATCCCTTTCAGGTGACAAAGTTTAGAAAAGAATCGAACTTTGGAGCCATCCACATTTGTAGAGTTGATCTAGTTGCAATCCTTAACTAGATGCCTGGCCTTGGACAAATATAAATTTATGATCACATTTGCTCTGTGGAGGCCAAAGCACAGAAAGTTCCATGAGATTTGGGATTATTATTTTTTCCCTCTGTAGTTCACTGCGGTACCGTGAGCACCAGAAACCAGGTTTGATACCAGTGGAAGTAAGGCCTGAACGCCTGGAAAGTCCCTTAGCTGACGACAGGAGCTCAAGAACCATCCTGTAAACCACTGAAGAATTTGCTTCCCAGGCTCAGAGCCTTCCACTTCAAGCCCGGCTCCAGGAGAGGAGCAGCCAGTAGAGGGCAGCAGCGACCTCGCGGTGTGGAGTCTCGGGGCCGGACGTTTTGGCCGCGGAGCTGTGCAGGCCCGGAAGTGCTCCTCCACAGCGGTACCCTCCAACCCCGCGTCCCGGATGTGGAAGTAGGTGGGCGGCTGCTCTTCTCGGTCGTGCACCCCCTAAAGGCACGGTGCAGGTGGGTTCCGGCGTTCTTCACGTGGGGCGGTTTCAGGCTGAGCCAAGGCTCGGAGAGCGGCGGCGGGGCGGGGCAGGCGGGCTGGGGTGAGTGTTAGCCCTAGACCGTGCCTCTCCCCGGTCTGGTGACCTGGACCTTTCAAATCTAGAGGTCGGCAGGAAGTTCTTTCTCGAATTTGCCGAATGACCTTCGTGTTAGAGCACTTAAAAGCGTGGGAAGCTCAGCTAAAGAACTAAGAAATTCGAGTTTTTGATTTGGTCTAAAGCTGTAGCGATGATCCCCTCCTGTATTGTGCAGATTACTGTTGTTACGAGGCTGGTAACTTACTCAGATGCCTTTGGGAACCTGGTAACAGCTATGGAGCCTGTCCCTATACATTTGCATAAGCTGCAAATATAATCATGCAAAAGTAGTACATACCTTAGGGTGTATGAACGCCCAAGTGTAGGCTGGTTTAGTGGAAGATAACGAGAAGCACATATATTAACACTAGATTTTTTTTTTTTTTTAGTTCAGGCTCCACTCTGCATCCCTAGAACCTAAATAGTCAACCAGTTTGAAACTCAGATGTTTTAGTAGTTAAAGTGGGATTGGTAGTAATTTGTAAGGTTGTGACCGTGAAAGAACATACCTAAAACATTTACTGTTCCAAGGCAGTGATGCCATGCACATATCAATTATTAATATTATAATTTAAAAATTGAAGTGTGGTATGAATGCCTCATTATGTCACTAGACACTGTTTAGGCTTTCAGTAAACTGGGTTGTTTTGATTGTAACTGAGGCCTACCGTGACCTTTCCCAGCTTTCATATATTTACGGGTTCCTCTTTTTCTAGGGATTTAGCTGGTGTTGTCTTGCCTCACAGAACAACCACGTCTGTTGCAGGCCTAGGCTGGATTGTAGCCTTTGTAAACAAGAGAAGGTCTGTAGGCTATCAGCATGGCATTTCCAGAGAGGTCCTAATGATTTACACCTTTGTCAAGAACAGGAATTATATGGACTTCTTTGAGGATGATCGACCCGGCCTGGATCTGAGGAAGGGATGAGATAATGTGTGATCAGCGTGAAACTGACACCGCAGAAGTCAAGTGGCAGAAAGTTTTATACGAGCGGCAGCCCTTCCCTGATAACTATGTTGACCAACGATTCCTGGAAGAACTCCGGAAAAACATCTATGCCCGGAAATACCAATACTGGGCTGTGGTGTTTGAGTCCAGCGTGGTGATCCAGCAATTGTGCAGTGTCTGCGTTTTTGTGGTGATCTGGTGGTACATGGATGCGGGTCTTCTGGCCCCCCAGTGGCTTTTTGGGGCTGGACTGGCATCTTCATTGATTGGGTATGTTTTATTTGATCTCATTGATGGAGGTGATGGACGGAAGAAGAGTGGGCGGACACGGTGGGCTGACCTGAAGAGTACTTTGGTCTTCATTACCTTCACTTATGGCTTTTCACCAGTGCTGAAGACGCTGACGGAATCTGTCAGTACCGACACCATTTATGCCATGTCAGTTTTTATGCTGTTAGGCCACCTCATCTTCTTTGATTATGGTGCCAACGCTGCTATTGTATCTAGCACACTGTCCTTGAACATGGCCATCTTTGCTTCTGTTTGCCTGGCCTCACGTCTCCCCCGGTCACTGCATGCCTTCATTATGGTAACGTTTGCCATCCAGATTTTTGCGCTGTGGCCCATGTTACAGAAGAAACTGAAGGCATATACCCCCCGAAGCTATGTTGGGGTCACTCTGCTTTTTGCATTTTCAGCTTTTGGAGGTCTTTTGTCCATTAGTGGTGTGGGAGCCATACTCTTTGCCCTTCTGCTGATATCTATATCATGTCTCTGCCCTTACTACCTCATTCGCCTGCAGCTTTTTAAGGAAAATATTCATGGGCCATGGGATGAAGCTGAAATCAAGGAAGACTTGTCTAGGTTTCTTAGCTAAGCTAGGAACCTTCATTCATTATTAAGACAAGCTGAAAGACTTATAACCTAACCAGTATAACATTTAAAGGCAGAATTCCACTCTTGAAGCAGCAGGCTGATCTGGGTGGCAGAGCAGAGATCAGCAGAAAAGCATTTAACCAAGGGCTTAGGAGGAAGCTGTTTGTCTTTCAGTTATTTTGTGACTCAAAAGCTTTCTGGTGCTGTCATGAATAATTGTCCTTTATTACCTTAACAAATGATGTAATGTGGGTTCACTTATTAAAAAAGTAACAGCCATCGAATTGTCTCATCTTTTAAAAAATATACCCTTATTTTGTGTGTGTGTGTGTGAGAGAGACAGACAGACAGGCAGAGGAGAGAGAGAGAGAGAGAGAGAGAGAGAAGAGTATTGGTTCTGTTTTCAGTGTGCATGTCCCATGCATCAAATTCATGCCTTGGTAACAAGTGCCTTGCCAGATAGCCATCACACTGGCGCTAGCCCATAATTTTTATGAGAGCATTAGACAGACAAAAGTAGTATGAGGAGTGTAGGTATGTGAGAGATCAGTTATCTGGTCTTTTCTGCGTGTACTAAGGAACACCCTTATATATCTGGAGCTCAAATTTGAGAATCCAGGATGGTTATTGTTATCCAATACCACAGAGGTGCTCACTCAGTCTATTTAGTTCCTAGTGCACTGTACAGATAAAGGAGAGTTGTATGTCACAGAAACAAAATATTGGAGACATTGCAAGAGGCTTGAGGGAGAGAGTTCATTTCAAGCAGCTAGGAAACAAGAGGTGACATTTAATTTACTTGGGCGGTATAGCTGGTGAAAGCCTTTGAGAGCCAGATAACTAATGCTAACAAGTATGGTAAAACTATGGAGCAAGCATCTATGCCCAGTGAGGGCAGCTGCTACTGCTCCAAAAATTATTTCTACTCAGCTTGGGATTCATACCTATGGGATTTCAGAAAATTTCAAATAAATATTACAAGTGTCTGTGAGTCTGATTTGCAAGACAAAATGTGCTTTGTAAACTGCCTCAAATTCAATCCACATGACAAGAACATTTTCAGGCAAAATGTGACTACACATAATGCTGCATCTATTAGCCACGGCGCAAAGATGGGAAAGTGATAAGCATCCAGTTACAGAGATCTGGAGTAGGAAAGAAAGTTGGTGGGAGCTTGAGTCACGGCTCAGCTCTTGCGTCATGCTTCGGTTATCTGGGCTCTGTTGCTGGTGATGAGCAATCTAGCTTGTCTAAAAATGGGACACATTGTGAATCTTATCGGTTCCCGGTTTTCATCTTTAATATTTAAGATTGGAGCAGTTACATAAGCTTTGTGTGAAGTGTCTTGAAGAATGTTTAACAGGAAGCCGAGCATCTCAAATGCAGAAGTCTGAAATCCAAAATCTGAAAGGCTTTAAGCACTAGTGTTATGAGTACCACATCCGGCACTATGAAACCTTAATGTACAAAATTATTCAAGGAATATAAGACTGTCTTTATACTGTGTACAAGGTGTATATGAAGTAAGGAAATTTTGTATTTAGATGGGTCCCACTCTCAAGCTATCCCTTTATGTTAAAATGTCAAACTATGAGGGAGAAAAATCAAGTATTTTTGGTCCTAAGCATATTGGGTAAGGGACATTGGATGAATCATAATAATTGGAATGTAGGGAAATTTAAAGAGGGCAGTGGCACACAATAAATCAGGTACTTCCCAGAGTGGCTGGTTCTGTCTGTGAAAGTGGTACTGTGCTGTGATTGTTGTAATTTCAAGTTAGAACTATCAAGGGTACTGTGAAGCAGTGCCTTTTATTTTTCTGATTTCTCATAAATGTCTTGAATAGGATTTTGAACTAATGTCTAGTATTATCTCATTTTTTTAAGTTTGCTGTGATTGGTGAAGATTGTTTTATGATTTAAAAGTGTGTTATGTTCCCTCAGTATCACTTATACTGCTTTCCCAAACCCAAGGGCAGGTAGTGATGGGGGAAAAAAGACAAGGAAACTGCCCTGTGGCATCCATGTACTACCTGTAATGGATTTCACCCTTGGTGCCTCCAAAGTGGCACAAATATTTTATAGTCCATGTCAATTGAGTGCAACAAATTATTGTAAAAAACTGGTTTTATTTTTATTTTTCATGCTTTATTTGTTTATTACAGTTTATTCAGTTTGTATTCCAACTGTAGACCCCTCCCTCTTCCCCTCCTTATCTTACCTTCCCTCCCTCTTCTCCACCCATGCCCCTCCCCAAGTCCATTGATAGGGAAGGTCCTCCTCCCCTTCCATCTGATCCTGATCTATCAGATCTCATCAGGACTGGCTGTGTTGTCTTCCTCTGTGGCCTGGTAAGGCTGCTCACCCCCTCAGGGGGAGGTGATCAAAGAGCCAGCCACTGAGTTCATGTCAGAGACAGTCCCTGTTCTCCTTACTAGGGAACCCACTTGGATACTGAGTTGCCATGGGCTACATCTGTGCATGGGTTCTAGGTTATCTCCATGAATGTCCTTGGTTGGAGTATCAGTCTCAGAAAAGACCCCTGGGCCCAGATTTTTTTTTTTCTTTTTCCTTGTGGAGCTCCTGTCCCCTCCAGGTCTTTCTATCTCCCCCTTCTTTCATAAGATTCCCTGCACTCTACCCAAAGTTTGGCTATGAGTCTCGGCCTCTGCTTTAATACCTTTGTGGAAGGCTCCTGTCCTGTTCCCCCTTTTCTCCCTCTTCTGATGTCTATCCTGTTTGCCTTTCTAAAGGAATATTGATCATCTTATCCATGTCCCTCCTTCTTGATTAGCTTTTTTAGGTGTACAGATTTTAGTATGATTATCCTATATTATATGTCTAATATCCACTTATAAGTGAGTATATACCATGTGTGTCTTTCTGCTTCTGGGATACCTCACTATTTTTCATGTTTTAATACACTGATTTATCTGAGTGGATTTCTAGTTGTAAACTTTAGGAAACTCATGCCAGTGAGAATTCTCCAAAAATTGAACCACTTCTAAGAATAGTGAGGTGAATGAATGTGACGGCTCTCATTTCCAACTCTTTTCTATCACTTTTATCTGGAGTCACCCAACACTCAATCTTACTCATATTTGTTGTTCTAGAAGATCAGTGTGGCGGTGATGGAGGATGGGGAGTTGCGGGATGCAATTGAATTTGAGGGGGAAGGTACAGCAGAGACTGTGTTTGGGTACTAATGGAGCTGTAAGGGATCATAAGCAGAATCCAGAGTGGATAATGCTGTACATTTCAAAGGGACCCGATGCATCCTGGTTGGGGAAAGAAGCACAGGATAAATGGATTAAAGTGATGGGGACTGAGGTGGCAGAGAACTGCGTACTTTGTAGTACAGTCTCCTGAGGTTAGTGGCAAACTCAGGAACTTTTAAAAGAGAAGTGAAGACACTGTGTTAGCAAAACGTCACATACAAGCGATGTCTAAAGATCTGGCGGGACTGAGGCTAGGCATGGAGAGTGGAGAGTGCTTTTGGCAATACTGGAGAAAAGTGAGGGTCTGGATGGGGAAGATGACCCTAGGCATGGGAATAAGTGGGTGGATAGTGATGGCACAGGGCATGGAGTAGACAACGGGATAGGTCACACTTGGGTGCTGTAGGAGCATTACCTAGAGGCTATGGATGAGCTCCACGTGCTGCAGTCAGCGCGCCGGCTCAAAATTCTAACCACAGCTTAGATGAGTACCAGGACCAAAGGAACAGGGTGCTGTTGTATTTGGAATTGCTCTTTTACGGTTTAGTCGCCTCACAACTAGGCAACAGTGGAATTAAAAATAGGTTGCAGAATGACAGACTGAAAAAATCCAAATTAGAGCAATCAAGGAGGCGGCCTTCTGAAAAGTGGATTAGACACTAGAACTCAGCCCAGGAGGAAGATTCAGAGGAGATGGTTGTGGCCTGTAACAGCACAAAGGGCAGGGCCATCTAATGTTCATGAGTAGAGAAATTTTCAAGCATTTCTCAAACTCTTAAAAAAAAAAAAAGTCAGGGTAAAGGTGAATCCCAATTCGTTCACTAGATTATGACTTACAGTAGAGAAAATGCTGATGCTGTATCAAGTGTAGTTTGAACATATGATTTTACCAAATTTCTGCATTTTCTCTAGTATAATCTCACAGGCCAGCAGTACAAATGGACTCTAAAAAGGTTTAGGGAGAAGGAACCCAAAGGTCATGCTTTGGTTTTTAATACTGAGACATCCTGAGCCCTTAACCTGTTGCCATTAGGATGTTAAGACTCTGCTTCCTTGGCTTGCGACTGAAGGAAATGCAGGCCTAGAAAATGGTCCATCTGTCCTAGGATGGCAGTTCCTGGGAGCATTATTCATCACTTAAATTCAGTACTCTAGCCAGTTTCAGCTTTAAACCACCCGGAAAGGGTGTGGGCAGCATTTCTAAAGTAAATACTGTATTCACCGGGGGTGGAGTGGGGGTGGGTGTCAGGTGAGAGAGTTCATTAGTAGTGTAATTTTATCTCAACCTGTGAAATGCTTGTTTAACTAAATAGCCATCTGCCCTTCTACCGTTTTGCTCCCCCCACCCCCCAGCTCTGCTCCTTGTCATTTGTTCTAAGTTACAGGGAAGGCTGGAGAAGGGTGGTGCAAGTGAGAGTAAGGAGAGGAGGAGGAGGGTGAGGAGGAGAGTGGAGGAGGGGAAGGAGGTAGCAATCTTGTCTATCTTGCTTAGATGGAGCTGGTATAGTTTGGATCTTATCTGTCCATCAAAAGGCCATGTGCTGAGTGCATGACCCTGCCGGGAGGTGCTAGGACCTTCTGGAGCTGAAGGTGTGGAAGGAGTATGCCTTTGAGGGCGTGTTGGGCCTGATATTCTCTGCTTTTCAGGGATTCAAGATGAGCAGCTTTGCTTCTCCGTGGGCTGCCTGCCATGGCTTGCCGCTTTACCACAAGCAGAAGAGATGGCCAGTCATGGGCTGTGTCAAGAGAAGTTCTTCCTCCTTCAGCTGGATCATCATAGTGGTTTGTTTTTTCCAGCCTTGGAAAACTAAGTAACGCAGGTGTTACTTAGTTACTTAGTAACACAGGTGTCGGGCTCTGGGGTTGGGGTGGAGAGGATCGCTGACGGGCAGAGCTTCAAGGGTGGCAATTAGTTCTTTGCTGTTCCGCAGCTGACTTAATGCCCCACAGAGGGCTAGAAGACACAGGTATGTGTGCACGAAGCCTCCCTGTGGAAAGCGTGTTTGTGTCTGCCGTGCGGCAGGAGCAGTTAAGTAACCTCGAACTTCCCAGAAAACTTTTG